CCTGTCAAGACTGTATACTACACCACTTGACTGAAAACGAGCACGATCAAATACGAGCCCTCACCCCACTGCCAAGAAAAATAACAATCAAAAAATTCTCAGGGATAATACGATCCCCTCCTTCCCCAGCGACCAGGACACCCCAGCCTCCCCCCCACCTCTTTCCGAGGGAGGGGAGGGGGGTAGCAATGGAATCGTCCGGCAGCTGGTGGGCGTGCCCGGCGACATACAGTCCTCATCATTGCGGACCGGTGGGGCGTGTCAGTGCGGCTGCGTTTGGCGCGGTGCCAAACTCGTTCTCCACCAGTTGTTGAAGCGGGCAAGTGACAATACTGTATCATATCCTTCGTATTACTCGTTTTCTACCACTTTTTGTCGCATGCGCGTTTCAACAAGAAGGCAGAGAACGGCTTGACGCTGTGCACACTCATACTGGCTGACACGCCCAACCGTCCGCAGCGAACTACACTATAGGTTTCCCACCATACGCTTCCAGAACGTGAAAGTGCGATGTAATGGAATGAAAACAACCAAGTAAGAAAAAAGAGACCTAGTCAAACAAGCAGGGGCTAGAAGCTTACCGTTTCGTTAACTCCTTGTACTCGGGAATATGTTCATGACCCTGCACCACTAAATCATCTGTAGGGGATGTATCATGCATTCGAAGATACGCTTCCTGCAAATGAAGTGCTGAAGTTGAAAAATTAGGAAAAGGGGACCACGAATACGGTCGTTAAATAATAGTTTTGGAAATCGAGATGAAAAAAGAAAGTTTTAAATCTTTGGAGAAAACAACTTGTACAACGAACCATCAGTATCTCCCTGTGGAACCACAATAGTGGCTTAACAAAAACTAACTTGAAGATTAATATTCAGCTCTGATTCTGCTAACAAAATCTTTGTGAAGTCGAACAAGAAAGACGGTGACACATTTTCCGACGTCCTCATAGCGCTCCGAAGACGCTAAACATGAAGTAATCAAAATAAGAATGCAAGTAGCAGCATAAATGGGATGTAATACACCATTGATACTGCAACATGTGAATGAATGCAAAAAAAAACCGAGCACAGTAACGCTATTAGTTCCAATGGGAGCATGAAGAACGGTAAAGGGATCCCTACGGTATTTGAGGTCTTATTCTTGTTAGAAAAAACGGTAGGATAGGCTGATTCACTTCCTTGATGGATGAAAACCAAGTTCATACTTTGCCACGGGAGAATAGGAGAATTGGCGAGTAGACCCTTCGGGAGCATGCGGGCTAAAGGAGTGGAGTGGTAATGACTGCTGCCACTCGCTACTGTTCTGGAAGATGAAAAGAATCTACCGGATCGAACCTATCCAGTCCGCTTCTTTGACGCTCCTTCCCCCAAAACGTCCGGCTCACCGACTCACCTAATCTCTCGTCGCAAAATATGAAAGCAGCCTAGCAATGCTCGAATTAGAGAACTGGGCTGTACATGATTCTTGCGAATAGTCATAATTTAGTAAAAAGGATTCCTATATTCATACGGTTCTAAAGTTGTTATATGACCCCATGCCAACACTATACTACCCCCTCCACATCACCCTATTCAAAAGATAGAATTAAAAGTTGGGCTTCCATCTTCGCAATTCAGTGTAATTCTGAGGATTACTTTCTGAGTAAGCGACTACGTGCTATCTCAGTCATGAAAGAAAATTCCTATTCTTGAGCCTATTCTCAATGGTTTGCGACTAATCCAACTGGTGCTCGAACATTCCTGTGAGAGAACTGATAGTATAGCTGTAACAATAGTGAATACCCGTCGTAAGACCACAATCATCACTCAAACTCTATAAACTCGATCGGAATTCTTTGATTATTTTT